AATTACTAGGGTAGTGGATACTATGACGGATAATTTGCGTCCAACTCGTGCAGAGGCAACTGATGTAGCTAATGCTGTCTTGGATGGTCAGTCATTTTGCTAATTGGCTAAAGTTTTTACTATTTGCTATATTTTGCTAATTGGCTAAAGTTTTTACTATTTGCTATGTCTTTGAATCATGTCGTGTAACATGTTTTTTTTTCTCTTTTTTTGCAGGGACTGATGGTATTTTATTAGGTGCCGAGACACTTCGAGGCCTCTATCCTGTTGAGACAATAAAAACAGTTGGTCGAATCTGTGCTGAAGTAAGTATCTTTATTTTGATTGATACATCCCCTTTGAGTAATCTGTGTATAGAAATACTTGAATAAATGCAACTGGTATTTGTTGTCTGCTTTTTAGGCTGAAAAAGTTTACAACCAGTATGTTCAATTTAAAAAAATAGTGAAATATGTTGGACAACCAATGTCACATGAGGAAGCTGTAGCTTCATCAGCTGTAAGATTTTGCAATTTATCCTTATCATCTTTTCTTATTCATAATTATTCAATTCAATGTAATGCTAAAAGATGATGTTTATTGTTTTAAGGTCCGTGCTGCAATTAAAGTCAAGGCTGCAGCAATTGTCGTGTTCACTTCATCTGGCAAGGCTGCAAGGTAATTTTTCTTTTCCGGGTATTGAATAATAAATTATATTGAAGTCCCTTGATTTATCAATCGATGCTTGTAATTATTCATCAAACAGGTTAGTATCAAAGTATAGGTCTCCTATACCTGTATTGGCTGTTGTAGTCCCACAAACAGATTCACCAAAATGGAGTTTCACCGGGAATATTCAGGTAGTGAAAATTCGACCTCCTCAACTTATAATTACAAATAGTCTTGTAGAATTTGTTGTTTAAACAGAAGAAAGTAGCTCACAATTATGTTTTCCTTTTTCTACGATGCAGGCTAGGCAATGCCTTGCGCTTAGAGGGGTCTACCCAATTCTGGCCACTCCTAGCACGGTAAGCTATAAAACAGCAACAAAATTATCTTATTGCTATCCTATGGAAAACTATTTGTGTTTGAACTGCTGTATGAAAATGTACTTTTTCCTCTCTTTTTTTTGGTTCTTAATCACTTAATTGTTTTTCTTTTACAAGTTTAAATTAAGGGTATTTTCAATGGAACTGAAGGTTTAAGAAAAAATAATTTAGGTGTTTTCATTATTCATAAGGTCGTAGACTCTCAACAGGGTTGCAAAACAATATTAGTACCGAGGATTTATCTGTAATTGTACCCGTTAGAATGTGGATATGGTTACTGATATCTGTAACAAATAGGATATGGTTACGCATATGGATAATGTGGTGAAATATCCAAATCCGTATTTGAAATATCCGAATATATGTTGGTCATGCAGTTGTAATTTTTTTAATCCTTAGATTAATGCATTTGAGGTTAATTTTGATGATCAAGAGATCTAATCTTAGCTTTTCGGATGTGCTCTCTTGTATCATATGAACTATATTCTTTTCAATATCATCAAGTTTTCCCATATCCGCGTATATATCTGTATCAGTATCCGATTTTAACAGAAACGGTTATGAGTTTTCCTCACAAAGGCATAGTTGTACCATGGTCGTGATTAATAAGCGTATACGGATATGATAAATTCCATATCTGTGCCGTATCCTAATCGTTTGCACCCCTACTCTCAAGGGCTCAGAGAGGAACTGAAGTTGCCTTGTACTCCAATTTATTTCTTCACTTAGCTCATTTCATTATACAATAGGTTCTAGGAATATAAGTGCCTATCTCTATTTTTCTCTTGATATCGATCTTTCCATGTTTTTTTTTTTAACATTTCCCAGCTGCTTTCACATAAACACAAACTAGAATCTCAAATGCTGAAACACCAAAAGGCCTTGAAACTTGCCTTTGCTAGAATATCTTGCTCAATACATTATATAATAGGCAAGATAATTATATCCGCGTTCTCAAATAACCAGATCAACAAGAAAGTTCTACTAAAAGACCATTTTGACAGTACGTGATTTCATGTGTTACTGCAATGTCATAGTTCGCCTTTCCATTGCCTGTCATAATTTACGTCAGATACTTTACCAGCATTTTCTCAGTCGTTTTCTTTGCATGTCAGGCTAGCGAGGTCAGTTCAAGGGAGGAGACGGGTGTGAAACTCGCATTAAAATACGGCGAATCAGTTGGATTAATAAAGCCTTATGATCGCGCAGTTATATTCCAGAAGATCGGCGACTCTTCGGTTGTCAAGATCGTCGAGTGTCAAAACTACTTTTGAACATCTTCACACGGTTGTTTGATGAACTCCAATTTTTGCAGCTGGTTTTTTTTTTTACCTGCTATTTGACAAACATTGGACGTTCTCACTATTTTTGTATCTTCTAGTTATGCATTGCTCTTTATGACCGTTTACAATAACACCAGAACCAAGAGATGGGTATTATTACCATGACATACTTTGATTCATGATCTCTCTATTTTCGTCTATTCAATCGAATTATGTCTGCTACTTCTACATTTAGAACGAACAGGACAAGAGTAGCTTCATAATAAGCTCAGTCATTTCATTGTACAATCATCTTCTTTCTGATCTAACGCCGCCTTTATGCAGTTGTTTTCTAATATTTCTTCTTACATCCTATTCTGCTTCCCTCTTTTAGTTTTTTGATATAGAAGAAGAAAATTATATAACCAAAAAAAAAAAATCCATGAACTAAAGCTTATGTGCCTTCAAATCATCATTGAGAAGTAGGGTGTTGCTACAAGGACCCAAATAGGGGGGACCCAAGGTATGGGACAGGTGAGGGCCGAGGCGTCACCATCCGGTTGCATGATGCACTGTTCATAAACAGTGCATCATACAACCGGATGGCTGACGCCTCACCTCACATGTCTCATGCTTTGGGTCCCCTATTTAGGTCCCTGAGGCATTAATGTTGAGAAGTATTGTTAAGATATTGCCTCTACATATATATTATAATTATTTATTTCCTGTAAGAAATCAGCGCAGCCATAAATTGCCATTCTTTAACATAAAAATAACCCAAAAATACAAAATCCGTTTCCCTACAGAAAACTACAGATAAATATCAACACCTTGTAACACTGACATCCACCAACACCGACCTCAGCCTCTGGGTCTCAGTACCAACACAGTCTCTATCAAAAAGAGCAGAAACAACAGCAACACCTTTCAAATTCCTCACCCCAATCTCCATCACAGACCTCGCATTCCCAGCATTTATGCCTCCAATCGCAACCACCGGCAGCTTCGAAGCCAAGCAAACGGTCTTAAGCCCATCAAAACCCAAAGTGGGGTTATTCTCCTTCGTGTTCGTCGGGAAAACACCACCACAACCGATATAATCAGCACCATCGACCCAAGCTTGCTCAGCCTGTGCGGGGGTTTTGCAGGAAACACCAACGATTTTTCGTGGGCCCAAGAGCTCGCGAGCTTTGCTTGCTGGCATGTCGGATTGGCCGACATGGACGCCATCGGCGTCACAAGCGAGAGCGACATCAACTCTGTCGTTGATCAGTAAAGGAACACCATGAGACCGGCATATTTGTAGACACGCCTCGGCTGATTCTACAAATTCACGAGTATTGGCCTCTTTTTCTCTGGGATAAAAGGGAGATAATGGTTATATGTAGAGCTCATGTTTAGAGATCTTCAAACTTCAAAGACTAGAGTGCAGCATGGGGATCTAAAACTACTAGTTCATGCTCAGCCTTCACAAAATATGACTGCATTTTATATACCTGCCACAGGTTTTTTCGGATAAATATGGGTTGTGACTTGTTTTAACTACGATTGATATGAAAAGTTAATGCCGCTAGCCCCAGCATAGTATGAAGGTACATTATGAAAAGCGTTGATCTTCGTCTGATTGTTTATAGGATATCAGGACGAGGGACAATTTTTGAGGTTTATCAACTAAGATGCACATCACTCAGCAACTCTATAACTTGTGTTCGGTAACAAGAGTTTGCCTAGAGTCAGGCCTAACCCTTTCGAAACAGGAAAAATAAAAAGGTCTTATAAATAGAAGTTCAAGGATAGTATCAAGTATTCCTTGGAAACGCTATCCTAGTTCTTATAGAGATCATGTAGTAATAATTTTGTCTTGGATGGAATTAATCCAACTCATCATGGAACATAAGATTCATCTTACTCACGTTCTTAAAATGCACACCCTTCGATTGTTCTAGCCAAAAAAGGATCAGAGCATGAAAAATTCGGAGACTGAACTTCGGAGAAAATTACCCAAATACATACTGACAGGATAAGAATGCACACCCTTCGATTGTTCTAGCCAAAAAAGGATCAGAGCATGAAAAATTCGGAGACTGGACTTCGGAGAAAATTACCCAAATACATACTGACACAGGATAAGATGCTGAGGGATTACTGATGCAATATGAATCCAAGCAACACACAGATGAAATCAAACCTATAGTCAAACTGGAAGTATGCAACTAAAGAGATCCCTGTCAAGTATTCTACTAAGCATCTGCAGAGAAACTTTCTCAGTACAAACATAAACATGGGACCAAGGTGTTTAGAAGTTTAGCAACTGACCTCAGTTGAACAATGGTGGCGCCTCCTTCTATGCAAGCTCTGACAGCTTCAGTAATGGAGCGGCCCCACTTTTTATTCATTCGAGAGTCTGTGACCGCATACAATAACAAATCATCAGCATTAAACCGTGATGTTTGGCCAGCATTATACGCACGACTCTTGAGTCTGAATAAGTGATCAAAGGGTCCTTGAGGTCCGTTTCCAATTACAATATCTTTACTGTAATTAAGAGCGCTCTCCACGAACATCTTAGCTACCTACAAAAACTAGGACAATGTAAATGAAAGATTTGGCAATTCGGTAGTTAAACATTGTAACATTAAAAGATAAATTCTAAAGAAAATCTATATAAACTTGACATCTATATGAGTTGAACATCCACACATGACATGTTATCTGCTGTAAACTCAACATACTTCGTTTTTGAATAAATTCACAGTTCTTTTGTGCGGTATCTTTTGTGAAGCATCTCTCCTGCTTCTTCATATATCATTAATGGGTTCAGCTTTGAATTTGAACCCATTTGATTGCAGTACCACAACAGACTTCTCATTTTTATAAAAATAGTCTCTAAAGATTTAGTTGTAGTTTCCTCTTCATTGATCATGGACCTTAAATTAGACGTCACAAGATTGATTTTAATTTAGGAAAAACTTGCAGTGGGATAAAGAAATCAGAAGTTTTTTTCCCCTTTAAATGGTTAAAATTGAAACCTAGAGCGTAAGACAAAATTATAACTTGGCAAATAACTGACTTTTAGGAAGCAATTTGCTATCTCATCTGATACATAATGACACATTATGTTTTACCTTCTGAGTTGTTTTCCCAAATTATTCAACATACCCTTTTTTTAACATCTCAACCATATAAATAAATGATCAGGTGTATTGAGATCTTTTGTATTATTTTCCTAATCAATTCATTATTCTTCCCCCAACTACATAATATACAGTTTTGTGTATGAATTCATATTGGAAGCTTTTCTAGTCTAAAAACTGTTAGCTGGGTGTTTGAATGATGAGAAGAAAACTATGACAGTCTGGTTACGATGCTTTCATTCAATTTTGCATGTCACTTTTTAGATAATCTACAAAAACAATTATAAATGGCAAAACTAACCCAAACAGCTTGTAGGATCGAAGAACCTTTTGCTAGTTCTGCTGCTATGCACGAAGCCAGAGTACAACCAGTTCCATGTGTGTTGCGAGTAATAATACGTGACCCTCGAAGTTCATGACATTGTTCTCCTAAAAGGACAAAGAGAGAACTATATGACACTCTAACCATGGCCTACAAAATGCCAAACTAGCAAGAAAGAATGAAGCACATTGCAACCTATGCTTAATGCAAGTAGTTAGAGATGAACCCGTACCATCAAATAATACATCAATGGCATCTGATGAATCTGGAAGATCTCCTCCCTTTACAAGCACATTTCTGCAACAAAAAAAGTATCACACATTTGACGGACCCAAAAGACACCAGTAAATAAAATATATACAGGGATCGCACATGCTAATGAATCATGATTATGCTGAATATAAATAAGATATCTTTAGAAATGGATACCAAAATTGAGTCTTCATAACACAAGAGAAAATATGATTAAACAGAGGATGGCACAAGCTATTGTTGGAAACCTAGGAAAGCAACAAGGTATTAAAAAATTAGCTTATTTGTTCTCTTTTCGTAAGAAAAATTATGACCAAATAAACTACGCAAAGACGTATACTTAAGATACAAAATAGGACTAAAATCCTTTTTTTTTTCTAAATGACATGATAACCAAAGTGTATCCATTCAATGAGGGCCCAGCTCAACACACAGTTCTTGCAGGCATGAGCATATAGATACATAGGAGAGGAAAGAGAGCCGATTTAAACTTTAAAGTTATGTGTTAGACTGGACAACAATGGATGATTGCTATTGTTTTGTCATTCACATGAAAAAAGTGATATCAATAGGAGAGGAACATATGTGAGCATACCTGGGACCAAAACTATGTATTGCTTTTGCTGCAGAGCACATGTCACCTACTGTCTCCAATGATATTCCCCCAAGTAAGGCCGATGCTTCCTTCAGATTCGGAGTTACTATATCCGCCATTGGAAGAAGCTCATCCCTGCATGATAAGGTCTATATCCTGAAATATCCAGCAATTTGGTGCAGGGGCACGATGGAATATTAAATCTATCACTCTTATACTCTCCAAAAATATTATTTTCAAGAAACTAACTTTTTCAAATAGTAACAAGAAGGTAATAACAGATAAATGAATTTCGTGCATACCTGTATTCAGCAAGGGTAGAAGGAGCGGAAAGCACATCCCCACTAGTCGACACCATCACTGGATCAACCACTAAAGCTGCCACCCAGAGGGATGAAAATATCAGTACTATATGAAGAAAGTACAAAATCAAACATATTATAAATACATAAAATGATCATGGATACCTCGTACAGGGAACTCTCTGAGACTATTACATAACACTTTGACTATGCCAACGGAAGGAATCATCCCAGTCTTCACCTGAAAAATCAGGAGGAAGGCGGATTAAGCAGGAGCATAAGCCAAGCAAAAGTTTTGCATTAACAGTTGAACCCAATAGTGGTGAATAAGGATATACACAAAAAACGACTGTGACAAATGATGCATAAAGAGCAATCGTGAAAGTCAATATCAAAGAAAGAAACCCATAATACGTCGAAAATGACAAGATAAAACGACGATGATCAAATGATGAGTCCAAGAAAATAGTCTATCCATCACAAGTCATATGGAATTTACTAAAGTTACAAGTTTGAGAATGACATATTTCACTATTCCCCGAACTAAACCTCTCATCCTTTTAGGCACTAAAAGGATATTTCTCTAACATAACATTTATATCTATAATCCTCTCTGGCTATTAAACAGAGGTTTTCCCTTGACAAGTAGAGGATTTATCAACTTTTGCACTAGTATTTATCTTTAAAATAAAACCCACATCCAACTTAATGAAGCCAACCATCTACTTCCATACCCAACAACTATTGCCCGAAAACACTGAAATTGCATGTCATACGAATAAAAGACAAGCCCGCAAGGAATTGCAAGAATGTCAATTTAAATATCAAAGTGGAGGGAGACTAAGAACTCCCATGAATTAAACAATGGCCCAACTTCTAGAATCCATAACAAATGATTGAACTTCAAAGAAAATGCAACAGCATTACAAAAAAAAAATAACAGCAACATCCATTTCCCATGAACCAAACAACCATGATATACTACCTAAAAATCCAAATTTTCAGCAATTCAGAAGTCCTAAAAAGCTACTAATTAAATTCATCAAAATCGAAACTTTAACAGAAATCAAAACTAAAACCCTCACCACATCCACATTCATATCAGAAAGAACCGATCTTAGCTGCTCCTTCACGAACTCCTCCGGCACAGGATGAACCCCCTTCAAAAAAAAAAAACCCAATTTTCAAGACTTCCCAAAAAAGGAAACAAATTATAACCTCACAGCAGCAAGCAAACTTCCCAAAAGAAAAGGGAATTGGGACCTGAACGCCGACGGTGTTTTGGGCGGTGACGGCGGTGATGACGGAGGAGCAGTAGGCTCCGAGGGCCCCACACGCCTTGACGTCCGC